AAAGTAAGCTATTTTATGTTCTTCTAAATCTGAATTACATTCACACTGAGCTAAACCTTAGCCACTCACTACTGATGGTCAAGGGTATCTAGAACCAGCTCCCGGGTCTCCTACCTCTGCAATACGCCAGGACAAAGTAGGCAGTACACTGAGGAACAATGATTAAGAGCTGGCTTTTAATGCCACACATTCAATGTTCAAGAAAGAAGTTTCACTGTCATTTGAAGTAAAATTTACTAATAAAGAATCCCAAGTACTAATTAAAAAAAAATGTAACCGCTGATACGCCTAAGTTGTTATGGGACAGGCACAGTCTAGCCACACTGCACCAACTCTATGAAGTGGACACTATTCCTGTCTCCACTGTGCAGATGAGAAAATGGAGCCCTGGACAGATTACCTTGTCCCAGTTGACACAGCCAGGAAGTGGCAGAACCAAGTTTTAAATCCATGAAATGTGTCTACTGGCAGGTTGATCTGCGTCACTAAGAACAACAGTTTAGCTCTCTAGACATCCTTCACCTATAGCAACCATCACACAGCACTCAGGACCAGCCTGCCACAGAACATTCAACAACTTACAGAAACCCACCCGAAGACATGTGGTCAGTAAGAATTATAATTTCAGTGCAAAAAGTGACCTGCGGTGACCCTTGGAAACCAGAAAATGAGAAGCCACTCCTTCTCCTTATGCTCGCTCCCAGTCCTGTCGCCTCACTTCCTGCTTCTCACTACGCCTGTAGGCTCTACGGATTCTGCAGACGCGGTCAAGCAGCACACACAGTGACCAGCATATCTCAGTGCGGAGTCTCAGGGTGAGCTGGGCCTCCAGATGCCAGTAAGGCTGGCGCAGAAAGCCATGCAACTTATTTCAACCCCAAGTTCTTCATCTGACAAACGGGTTTTAAGTCAGATGAATTTTAATACTGGTATGCTTTGGCACTTTCAATAAAAGAAAAAAACCTTGTGATCTGTTGTTGTTTAAAAGGTTCTTTGGGTCCCAAATCTCCACCTTAAAAATACTTGGGTCTTAATTTAAGTTGTTTATTTCTAGCTTGATTGCTTTTATGACCGATGGAATGCTGGTGGTGACTGCCATCTCCACGCAACGCCGGTTATCCTGCTGCGCTGCCAGCACGCACGTAAAAGAACCCAAAACAGCGCCCCCCTAAACCTGCAGGCTAGAGGCCCTCCCAGAATGCAGGCTCACCACTCCCACGCAGGACCGTTCAAAACAGTGCAGTCTGCTAGCCAGGCATTTTTCCTAGTGTCAAGAGGAGGACTTTCCTGGTCCAGGTGTCTGAAGGCAGCACACATTCTGGACAGAGAACCAGGACAACTACCCTGAGCTGTGATCCCTTCTCAACTGCATACTCCAGGAGCCTCTACCTTACCCTGCAAGCCTCATTTTCCTCATCAACTCAATGGACATAAAACCGCACATGGTAGGAGTTCAGAAATTTGACTTTATTTTCTCTAGTACTTTTCTTAAAAACTTGCAATTGGAAGCAACTGCTTATTTTACAACAACGGGGGAGAAAAGGCCTTATTTTATATAACTGGAAAAGCTTTCAGAACGAGCAATTCTCCCATGTGAACCTAGAAACTCAGGGACCTGTGACCCCTTGTGCTCCCAGAGAGGACCTGCTCTGGCTCCTGCAGGTGCTGCTGGTAAAAGGAATGCTGACAAAGAGGAGAGTGACTAGTCAAAGAACAGAGTAATTAGCTGCTAGCAAAACAGCAGTGGGAGTGTGCAGTGCGGAGGAGAAGGGAAAATGACAGCAGAGCATTATCTTATTTTGTTGGAAACTGTACCCAAGTGTTAATGCTTCAGTGGCTCCCTCGAAGTCAGTCTAGTGTGGGAGGGCAAGCCTCCAGTCTTCCAAAGGCACGTGTCCCACCTGCCTGGAAGGGCTGAGAGAGGGTCTCAGGTGGAAATCACAGTGAGGGCCAGAGGAGGCTGTGGCTGGGGACCCACGTCCAGGACTGACTCCTCACTCTCATCGTACTTAGTTTAATTAAGACAGGGCAGGTGTGTAGGGTGGGTTTAGAACATCTTCCCAAGTTCTACACTGTGTATTTTGGTTTCTTGAGAAACCCAATCAACCAAAAGCAAGCAGCTCATAAGACATGCAGAGTACAGGGCCTCACGCTCTGCGCCTCAGGACGCGGCCCGGGCCGCGAGGAGGCGCGCAGCACCGGGAGGGAGCGCTACCGCAGTGCTGGGCGGCCGGTGCAACCCATTTCCACTTTGGCGCTCGCCTTTTAAAGGACACAAACATCCTATTTCACCATTTACATTCTACCATCTCACAATCAAAAGACAGAGCACAGGCCCAGGAACAGGACTGGTTCTTCTGGAGAAAAACAGGATAAAATTCTTAGCAAATAATGTATTTCTTAAAATGGCAAAGAAAAAAAAAAAAAACAACCTGCACAAACCCAAAGGAGAAAAGACACATCCGATCCGATCAGATCTGTTCCATCCAGAAGCCTCCCCAGAGACAGAAAATTCAGTTTTCAACGGTGCTCCTGGCTTGGCAGAGTTAGACTTCCAGAGAGGGAGACCGAGCTGCTGAAGCCCCGGGAGCTGCGCTAGCTCCTCCGGAGCCAATTCCCAGCACATGCGCGCGGGAGAAAGCCTTGAGGTCCGGCACAGCTGGCCAAGCGGAGAGCACAGGGCTCAAAGCAGCACCGACTGCAGAACTCAGTAAAAATGAGCAATGTGAGTGTCCCGGAGTGTACAAGAAGGAAGCTGACCGTGTGAGGTGCTGAGTGTCTTCAGTGTCAACGCGTGACATCTCCTGGCTGCTGGCACAGACACCTGTCTATCTGCACAGTAACTTCACAAGCCCAGCAATGTGAATTTTAGGACTGGCCCCAGCTGGTCATTCTTCCTAGCTGCCACCGTCCCAGCCTGGAAGGGAGCTGTGTCCCGCATCACCTCCCATGGAAAGCGCTCCGGCCGCAGGTAGTCTTCCCAAGCCCCGCTCCCTTACCCACCAGGAGCCATTCTACTCGGCATGTGAACCTGCCTCCAGCACCGGGTCAGACCTACCTCCGTGGGGTGCAGTCTTCATGCGGGGGGATGATGACAACCTTCACCGTCACAGACGTCCTCAGGAGATCGATCATCTGCTCGTGGCTCAGCGTGGCCACAGCCACCTTGCAGATCTCCACCAAGCGGCTGCCCTGCCTCAGCCCTGCCTGCCAGGCATAGCCATAGGGTTCCACATCTGCTACAATGCCCTCATAGTTGACGTGGAATCCGAGCTGTCCCAGCCCATTTCTTCGCAGAGTCATTTCCACTGATTCACAACCTTTTGAAACAAACTAGACAAGGAAATCAACACTGGAGTTTAATGCCTTAAGGTATCAAGTGATGGGTGTGGAAGGAGGAAGCTGTTACAAATAGGCCTCTCCCTCAGCCAGCTGAAGAACACGCTGGTTATTTCTCCTTCACTGGTTTCTACTTATTAGGTCAGAAGGAGCATATTTATTGCATTTAAGGAGCTCATTGGTTTCCCTGAAGCAAAGAGAAAGCTATTCTGCTACTCAACTTGCCCTTGAAGTTGAGGCCGCAGGTACAGACAGCTCTGTTCAACATCACTGGACTGGCTGGGCCACAGCCCCAGTAGCCATGGCAGTGGGTTCAGCTCAGGGGCAAGTGAGTGTCCCACCCCAACACAGAAATGTTTCTGAGAAATGCTGGATAACAGAGAACTGAGATAAACACACCAAGGAGTTTCCAGAGGAGCTAATAAAATTGTATAAGCTTCAGTAACTGGACGCTAATCTGTATTGAAAACTTTATGAAAGAGAAACTGCATGTGAATGTGTGAGAGGAAAAGACTCACCTGCAACCTTTTGACAATTTCTTTGATATCCTCATTGTTAATGAAACTCTCCACGGAAACACACTCTCCTCGCTCATAGAAGATTTTAAGGCTGGCGTCAGTTGAAGTCCAGCCTATAACATCTCTGCAGGAACAATTAAAGACCACGCTCTTGGTCTCCTGTTCAATGAGGACGATGAACTCATTGGAGACCCCCAGAAGGCAGTCTATCTCCAGTGCCGTGGTGTAGTCCTTGGCCCGGACTGTCCACACGATGGCCCCCGTGCTACTAAGCTCAGCTCCTGGATATGGCTTGGACTTCTCTTTCTTCTTGGAGGCCAAAGAAATGAATGGGAACTTTCCTGAAGGGTCAATAGGGGTGTTGGTGACATTCTTTTCTGCTAGATCTTTCAGGTACTCCTGGCGAGTCCGAGTTGCCATGGCCCGGAACTTTTCTGATTTATGAGCAGCATTTTCCGCATTAATCACTTTGGCTAAGAGGAAGTCCCTGAACACATTCGACTTGGGGAACGTGACCCCTTTAGGGATGGGAGGTCCGAAGGAAGGCACATCTCTGGACCTGGTGACAGCCACACTAGGGAAACACGGAGGAAGGGAAAGAGGAACATGATCAGGTTCCAGTCTCACAACAGAAGAATGCAGGACAAAGACAGTTTAGCTCAGCAACAAAGCGCCTGCCTCGCCACACAGACCCTGCATTTGCTCCCCAACACACACTGCAAAAAGCACACAAATCCCAAACCCCGGACAAACGCACGCACAGCAGACGGCGCTGCTGCGTTCCACACAAGAAGCCTCACTCTTCTAGCCAAACAGACACATGTCTAGAAGTCTGGAGTTGGGACGATTCTTCCTTTAGCAGACAGAAGACTGACCAATCATAGCTCCGCGAAAACTACTGTGCAAGAATGCTTCATAAAAGAATAAAACTTTAAATGTTTACAGGATTAAACTAACTCTAAACCTATTTTAAATGTCTACAGATTATTTCAGGACTTTCTTCTTTATCATAATCATATAATCTTTCAGAATAAGCAAGATTCCATAAAAACACAAATGTGCCCTCCCTTGTAGCTATTATGCCTGTGAGCAGGCAGCGCGTGAGAACTGTGGAAATATGCATCACAGACGACTCAGCTGAGGATGCAGCCAAGGGGGACTGCTTGTGCACACGTGTGAGGTCTTGGGTCCAATCTCCAGTACCCCCTCCCCATAAAAGGACCAGAAATAAATGTTTAAGTAAGTATATTGTTCGTTGGCCCAGGTATGAAGCATTATGTAACTGGATTAAAAGCATAATTTTAAAATAAAAATGTGGAGTAATGGGATGACTGCGACCTTTCTAGAACAGTCACAGCGCTTCGTACCGCCCTTTTGCTTGTGGCAGTGGGGACACGCACAGGACTGTCCCACGGAGCCATCTTCCTAGCCCGCCCCCTTTAATTTGGAGACAGGGTCTTGCTAAACTGCCCAATGGAGGTTCAAACTCAGGATCTCTGCCTCAGAGCAGAGATCACAGGCACAGGCTACCAGCTTAAAATAGTACTTGTGATCTGAGCTATTCTTTTTGCCAAATTCTCTATTTTTGGCACATGGATCAAACAGTCTATTTTTGAAAAACATATTTTCCTTTTTCCATTTTTTAAAATGCAAGACTAGTGCAAGAAGGCCTACTTGCATCCTTTCCCCTGAGTGGTTAGCACCAGGACCAGGCCAAAGGCCTTTACGAACGTTAGTAATGCTCAAACGAAAAACGCAGTTTCCTTTAAGCAACAACATCAGAAGTTATGTGAAAACAGAGAAGTTTTTGGTAAAATCATGTTCCAAGATTACATGTGGTATCCCCAGCCAAGTCTGGCCAGAGATGGCTGGAAGTGGTACGAAAATACAGCAAAAATCCAACTTTCTGAGTGATTTAAGACTAAGTCAGTTAAGGGCCAGCAAGACAACTTGGTAGACTAAGGGCCTGCCTAGGCAAGCCCAGGGACCAGGGTTCAATCCCCAGCACTACATGCCATGCTGGCCCCACCCTGGAGTGCTGAGCTGGCCAGAGGGCGGGCCAGCATGGTGGCGTACGCCTGTGATCCCAGCGCTGGGGAGGCTGAAAACAGGAGGGTCACTATGAGTCTGAGCTGTGTAGTGAGACCCTGCACAAAACACAAAATATAAAACAACAACAAAAACTAAGTCAACTACGCAACTGTACTACATTTTGAGGGAGTAATGTGAAAATTTTTCCTCTGAAGTCCAGAATAAAAAGGACATAGAGATTGTACACCTTTCAAATTAAAACTGAAGAAATCTGTTTCATGTTTTAAGAAGATTCCGGTTTATTTGGTTTTTCTTTTTGAAAACTGATTATATCTTATGAAAACAGGACAAATAAAATGTAGCAATTCTAGGACATGAATTATATTCTGATGAAGGGGAAAAACTACACTGTGAGAAGATGCTGCTAACTGCTGGTTTGCATGTTTTGTTTAAAAACAACACTACTTGGTTTGCTTTTTGAGAATGATGGGGCAGCACCTCGCACTTGAGAAGAGAGTGCCCAGCACCCTATGTGCACAGGAGCTGTGGCCTAAGTACCCCAGTATTGGAAAGGCGACCACTCTTGTTCAGTGTGAATTGTCTGCTTTAAATGCTGGCAGCAGCATTAATTTTAATTCGGTTATTTTTTTTTCCCTCAAGTCAAGCAGATGTCCTAAGTGGAATCCTATAAAGATTTAGAAATATTAATATCTTTCACTTTGAATTGGCCGTGTGCTGTCATGCTAATCCCACTCAAAGCACCGTTCTTTCCCCTTAGCCAACCAGAGGAAGGTGCTGAGCATGGGGCGTGGTTCTGAGCACCATCCACTTACCCCCTAAGCTCACTGGCTTTGTGCAGGTGTTTCTATTAAGTGACAGAACTTTAGACAAACATACTCTGAAAGCTTACCAGTAATTAGAAGCCTCTAGAAGGAACTGTGGGGGAAAGAACTAGATCTTTTACATGTAATTATCAATGAGTCACCTGGGAGATAAATGATACAGACACTAAAGTCAGTCTGCACGATCAGTAACAGAACGGACAGAACGGAGGAAGAGGAGGAGGAGGAGGAGGAGGAAGAGGAGGAAGAGGAAGAGGAAGAGGAGGAAAAGGAGGAGGAGGAAGAGGAGGAGGAGGAGGAGGAGAAAGAGGAGGAGGAAGAGGAGGAAGAGGAAGAGGAGGAGGCCCTCAAGTGCTCTTTTCAAATAGTTTTATTGTGAATGCATCCAACTTTGAAGGTATTTACAAGGTTAAAAGCTCATTAACTTAGATGCCACAAATTTGGAACTCTTGATAATAAAGCCTGGTTTATGCTAAGTAGAATATTTTTCTTTTGATTAAAACAAGTCTGTCCTCCCATTTCAGTTTGCTATATATAGATACTTAAGGCATATTAATTATATGTGGTTCTTGTTATTTTTAAAAGCAAATTTCAAAGCGCCATTGCCTAGCCACACTTTTAGTTTATAATACTGTCTTAGAAATACTATATCCTTCAGAATTATTTTGTAGCCAAGCCTTATTCAGTCAACACTGTTGAGGACCAAAATATTTAGGTGACAGAATTGACAGTTGGGAAAAATGGGAAAAGTTAACAGAAAAGAATTTCAAGATGATAGTGGTCCTCAAGTTCTTCCAATAACCCATCCATCCATCTATCCATCCTTCCTTCCTTCCTTCCTTCCTTCCTTCCTTCCTTCCTTCCTTCCTTCTCTTCCTGTCTTGCTAAGGATCAAAGCCAGGGCCTTGTGCATGCCTGGCAGGCACACTACCACTGAAGTACAATGCCAACCTTTTGAAACTTCTCCTTTGAGTCAAAGTCTGTTACCCAAGCTGGCCTTGAACTTTGGACTTTTCTGCTTCAGCCTCCTGAGTAGCTGAGATTACAGATTTGGGCCACCACACCTGGCTTTGCCCTTCATCTTAAAATTCAACTCCATATTGCATACTAGCAAATAATACCTGTACTCATGTTAACCTAAAAATTCATTCTCCAAAATCTTCGAGAATGACAGAGGCCAGGAAGTTGCGCCATGCTTACCTCTGTATGAATAGCTTGTACAGATTTTTTTACTTCTCTAGGAAACAGACACAGAGAAGTGAAATGATTTGTACTGAGCTGTCAGAAAGGCAGCCTTGCACCACGAGCACAGACCCACACCACACCATTCTTTCTAAAGCAAAGTTTTCAAACATCCACCATGGGAGCCCCGTAGGGCCGGCAACAAGTGACCATTCATAGGTCTCACGACCGGACACCGCCACAGGTGGCATCTGGCTGGAGGGCGGAGAGCTGTGTAGCATTCACTGGCAACAAGACCTGGGATACGCAAAGCCAATTTCAGGTAGATACATGACAGGGATCCAGAGACATCTGAACATACGTCTTAATGGAAAAAAGAGAAGACTTAGAGACTTTAACTTTGGAAGCAAAATGAAAACAGCAATAGACAGTAATTCTCCAACCCTAAATTTAAAAGGAAGGTGACACAGAACATATCCAACTGGTACAGGGAGGACACTCCCTTCTGGAGCTGGAGCCTCGGTTAGACTGCCAGCATGGGAAACTTCCCAAGAAAGCAGAGTCTGGCAAAGGACTGAAAGGGACAGGTGCAGAACAAACCTGTGCCACTGACTGCGTCTCTGGGGAGCTCCTGGCGATCGCTGGCATTACTCATTTACCCGCGAACACGCACAGGACTCCCCTACATGCCAGGCATCAAGCTAGTGGGAAGACTCCAGTACAAGTCTGTCACAGCCTTACCCCTCCCAAACTCAGTCTGGTAGGGACTACTTCTAGTGGCTTAAGCCCTCTTCTGGGGCACTGCAGGGTGACACAGGAATGCTCCATAGGCACCTGCATCCCAGGTGGTCAGGGAATGCTCCTGGAGCAGAGCAAAAGCAGCAACTCAGCAGATGAGGGAGAGGCAGGGGTGTGTAAGGAGAGGAATCCAGCCCGGGTGCGGGCGTACAGAGGACAGGGAGTGTGTGGAGGACAGGAAGCATGGACACCCTGCAGAGCAGGGCACAGTGCTGCAAGAGCGAGCTGAAGGTGGGGAGGGGTGGGAGAGGAGCTGGTGGAAGACACTCAGGAGGCTGAGCAAGGAGCAGCCAGCCGGACCGCCCTACCGACTGGTGGCCTCCTGTAGCAGGCTCTGCCAGGAAAGCTGCACTCCTTCCCTGGTGACAACACTTAGGCTTTTGGCCTACAAAGCTCAACTGCACTGCTTAACAGGGATGCCAATCAATCACAGTTTGGTCTTTTGAAAAAAATTTTCACCACTCAACCCACTCTGGCTTTTTTTTTCCCATTTCTTCTTAGAAGAGCCCTGCAAATACATTTTTTTTAAAAGAGAAAGAAGTGGAGAGCACATTTAACATACATTTACACGTACCACACTTCCTCGTCTCCAGTGATTAGTTAACTGGATTTTAAACATGTAAAGTAACCTTCCATGACCCAGGAAGGAATCTTAAGAGCTAAGAGTCTGCAGAATTGGATCTAATTCCAGTGGATTTTGCAGAGTACCATACTAACTCTTCAACATCTATTTTAGGCCTACCTTCCTAAACATAGCTTCTAAACACAATTAACAACTGAAGACTCAAAGCAACTAATAAATGATTCCTATCCTAACTTTAAAATTAATGATCATCTAATTCCATCAAAGAGGGAGTCAATGTCTAATTTACAGTTGTTTATAATGTCTTAGTATTTTCCTGGTGGTCTTTTTAGTCTAAATTAGGATTCCCCATAAGTTCTACACACTGCCATTAATTATCTTTAAAATTTTTATCTTGTAACATTCTCTTCCATTTGTCTTGCTCTTTTATTTCTTACAACTTACAGTTACTGAAGAAACTGAGCTGTCTACCATTAGCCAAAGTCTGAATTTGCTGACTGTGAACATATTTCTCTGGTCTTTTATGCTTTTCATAAACTTGCTTTTCCAGAGGACTGATCAGATTCAGAGTTGATCTGTGGAGGGGGACAAGAGTAGTTCACACATGAGGCTGGAGTCTCCCACCCTGATGCACAAATTTGTCTCTTTCTGTAGGGTTAGCTGCCTCTGATGATTAATGCCAGATCCATTCATTCCTTAGTTTTTGAGAAATGGTGACATGCTATGCTGTGTTTTTACAAAGGAAGCCCTCAGGGGTGAGTGAAGTGTATGTGGCTATTTGCTCTGAAATCAACCTCCAAGACTGCTACGTTTATTGAATTTGTACCTCTGAATAATTTTTCTGCTTCTCCTGTAACAATAAACACATGCTGATGTCTTTAGTGTATGCTTTCTTGTCCTTGACAGCTCGTTTATCTTTCTGATCTGCTACTTGTAATCTGCTCTATCAGACAGATGAGGCAAATTCAGCTCACTGTGACCACACCAGCCAAGGAACGGGCTGGAAGGCTCTCTCCCGTCACAGTGCAGGGCTTCATACTCGGGCTTAGTCAGTGACGTCTGCATTCCTGGCTACAAAATGATTACTCAAGGTTAACTGGCCCCTAGAATGACTCAGTTTTTCCTATATAAACTTCTCAGTTCCTAGGGAGTCACAACACCATGTTACTTCAAGGTTTATCTCTGTATCCACTGCAGAAATCCTTCTTTGTTCTCCTAGGATAGTGCCTAGCACAAAAAAGCAGGTATTAGATAAAAGAGCTAGTGAAACATGCACGGGTAACATCCTCTACATTTATCTCTCTGCGTACAAGTTACCTTGCACAGTGACACTGGGCAGGTTTTCCAAAGGCCCTACTCAGCTGGGGCCGCTGCCGGCGCCCCAGCATCCCACGGGCCTCCCACCGCCTTTCCTCGCTCGTCAGGAGCCCTCTGGGCTCTCCGCCCTCCTCCTGTCTCTATGCTGGAGCACCTGCTGCTGAACAATCACACGTACTCCTCTTGTTGCCTTTGACTTTCATACATCTGTGCTTTAAAGCACACAGAGCCCCATTTTCTTCAATATATTTTTATAACTTCAGTCTCTATTGCTACTGCACTTTTCTACATTACCATAATAAGATGCTTCCTTGAGAAAATGATGTTTCTTTGTTCCACAACCCAGACACCAAGTGTGGCAGTAAATACATGTGAGTGTTCACAGGGAGGGAAGCTGCAGTCAATGAGCTCCAGTATCCTGAGCTGAGCCGTGAGTCTCAAATATGTTCCAGACAGCCGAGAGTCCACAAAACACAGACAATGCAGTCTAAATATAAAAATCAGTGCTGACTCGCGCTGAGATGATAACACTTACGTTTAGTAAGTGAAACCAGATTTGGTAAAAAGTATTAAAATTAATTTTACCCATTTCTTACTACTTTTTAAAACTCTGGCTAGTATAGAAAATATAAAACTAAATATGGTTTCCACTATATTTCTTTCTTTTTTATTTATTTATTTATGTGTGTGTGTGTGTGTCTGTGTGTGTGTGTGTGTGTGGCCAGCTCAGCCCACCAGGGGGCGGGGCTGGCTGGCATGTGGTGCTGGGGGATTGAACCTCAGTCTCTGTGCTTTGCTAAACTTGCTCTAAGTAGGTGCTTTAGACCACTAAGCCATCTCACCAGCCCCTCCACTATATTTCTATTGCACAGTACTAATTTAGACAAAGGATATAAAAGAAACTTTACAAGACATCAAGTAGTTTCTCACCCTCAAACTTTGAAGTGTTCACTCAAAAAGGGTGGGGCTTCCTATCCATAAGAGAGAGTGAAGGCTTTTGCATGAATCTGAGAGATGGCACACTTGAAAAACCCAGGGTACGTGCAAATGTAACCAGTTACCCATCTTGACTGTAGTCCAATGCTGTGTTCTTATTTATTCTACCACAGCCCAAGCAGGGAGCTTGTAGGTGAGCTCAGGTGATTAAGCTCCTGCTTGGGCAAACCCAGTCAGGCGCTGGCACCATCTCCACATGCCTCACCAGACCTGCACTTAAGGCAGCCTGAGCCAGCACCCCCCGCCCCCCCCCCCAAAAAAAATCCTGCAACTACTACCCAAGCAGCTTTTGGAGGCCACTACCTCGGGGAGAAGCTTCAGAGCTAGCTCCCAAGTAGCAGCTTCCTTCGTCAAGCCTAAGAAACTGCAGACCTCCGTGGTCTGGGATGTGTATGCCAGTTCGGCACCTGAGAAACTCCAGAACAGAACTGTTCTGGGGCAAGAACTGCCAAGAGCTAGCATCTGGGACACGCAGAGAGGCCAGAGCAGTGCAGCCGGGAGCCTGGCTTCTGGCGGCCGGACTGCATTCCCTCTCACCCTGCCCAGGACGAGTCAGCTGACCCGGGCAAGTCCTCGAGTGCCACGTGCCTCAGCCTCACCGAGTGAGCATGGGAACACACAATGCCCTTCCTCTTAAAGTTTTAATGGTTAAATGAAGCAACACACGGAAGAGGGGTGAAACAGTGCTGAGCCTAAAACGAGAGCTCAATGACCGGAGTCACAGTGGTGTGCGCAAGGACAGTGACAGCCATGACCCAAAGAACCCAAATCGGGATTCCCAACCTTTAGAAGCTGAGCAGCAGAGCCAAGAGCGGACAGCGACGCTCCACCTGTGCGTACAGCCACTGCACACCGCGTGCCAGCACGGACTCTCGCAAGGGCACAGACCCCCGGAGCTGTGCGTGTGAAGGACCCAGCTGCACTCTCCTCTGAATCACCCCGAAGCCCCCACCCCTCCATCTGTGAAGAGTCTCTACCACGAAGCTGGCCCCTGGAGCCAAAAAGGCTGGGGACCGCCACTCTAAATTGGGTTGCATTCTCTGAATGAACTTTTATCGCCCCCAGAATTAGACAGTTGGGGATCACAGAACTCAGCTGCCAGTCCTGGCTGGCCACTTTCTATGAAGGTTACATTACTTCAAAAGTAAATACCCCAAATTAATAAAGCCTACACATTCAAATCTTAGGCACAGAAACACAGGCTAAGCCTTTACACTCGGAAAGGCCGACACACACCCGAAGGAAGCATCGTACAAGCGCTACGATGCCCTTACGCTCCGTCCCCATCCGCCCAGATCCTCACCCCCAGCACCACGCCCTCCAGGAGAGGCCTCCAGGTATCTGCCTGAGCTGGCATGTTGACGCAACTAGGTTAACAACTGACACAGCAGCAATCTCCACAAATGCTTAAGAATGCATGGAAATGTATCTAAGAGTCGACTTGGACGTGGCTCAAGGAAATCCTGAGTCACTCCTGAGACTGAACTGCCTTAGACTGAATCAAGAAAATACTAACTAGTGGTCTGGGAGGTAAAAGTGACAATAATTTTTTAAAAACAAATTCCTTTTCCCTATTTATTATGATCACTTCTCTCCGCCATGCCAAAAATATATATAATTAGCAGCATGAGTGAGTAGTTAGCGAGTGACCAGGTGGTATGGATGGGAAACACGGCCTAAGGACGAGGTACACAAGGAACCAGCAGGAGTCTGGCCAGCAGGGAGAATGCCATGCCACCAGGTTATGTCGCTGCAGGAACTCGACAAGCTGCACATACAAGCATGGATAGAAACAGTAACAGACTTCTCGCTGCTGTGTCAGACAGCAGAGCTGCCCGAGGCCTCTGCACGAAGAGCAGCCCACAGCCCCGGTAAGCCCACAGCGAGGACGCTCACCTGTAACAGACACCATCAGTGCAGGGGCTGTGAGCCCTGACGACGACAAAAACATGCTGAAAGTGGGATCTAATGTTTTTTGGGCTGAAGGGCTGTGCTCCAGGCTCTTGGAAAACAATTGTCACAATGTCATTTCCAATGTGCCGCTTCCTTAGGAGCTGAAACAAAAAATAAGCAACCAAGATAAATCGTGCGTTTGTGACTCCCCCAGTTCTCCTGCACAACTTCTTGCTAATCACTATGAACAAGGGGAGGTAATCCACACCACCGCCGTCAATGTTTTGGCCTGTCTTAGCATTCTTTCCAAGAAAGGATATGGACATGAATTATTCTGAAATCTGCGCAGAAACATAGCCGCTCAAATACTATGCCTGACTGACCAAGGCCAGGCTTCTGATGCCACACTGTGGCACTGCCGCCAAGCTCGGGTTCTGCGGCAATCGCACTCCACTTTCACATAGGAAAGAAACTTGCCGGGGGGAAGACTTCTAGAAATGAGACCAACTGAAATAATTTCAGTGCACTTTATGTTCTGGCTTAACTGGCTTTATTAAAGTGTTTTCTGATAGACTTTTTCTGTCACAAGCTGGGAATGTAAGCATTACTAATATTCCACAATGTAGTAAAGATTTAAAGACAGGTTAAATTTCAAGTTTTAACAGCTTCTTTAATTACAGTGAAAGCTGCTTAAGAACACTGTCTGTTTCATCAAATGGTTTTTCAAGTTAGGGTACTTAACATAGGCTAGGTCAGCATCTTTTCAGGAAGGATTTATAACACAGTTTAATATCTAGAGAAAAACTGAACAAAATTTTTTATTCCTCACATTTTGTGGAAATTCTTTAAAAAGAAAAACTACAAATGGCATAAACCATCCATTGTAATACTTTTTGAATTTTTCCCCCCAATGACAAATTATGAATCAGTAAAACCAGTGACCTAGTATTGGCAGGCCAGCTAGCTGGGAGAAACTGCAGCCTCTTAGAGTAGGATTGAGAATTGGGAATGAGAATGTTTGGAAATGCAGTTTTTTTTGGTCTCTGTTTTCGTTTTTTAATGTATTTACTACAGGGTCTCACTACTTAGATCGGGACTGGGATTAATCCCCGTTTGTAGCCTCCCAAGTGCTGGGGTTACAGGCACATGCCACTAGGCCCAGTCTCAATCCTGTCTCAGTGTGCGCCAGGGGCAGGGCTAGCAATGCAGGCCCAGGGCTCGAGCCCTCAGCCCCTGCACCTGTCTCCTCAGGTGCTTTCATCTGCTGAGCTATCTGGCCGGCCCTGGAAGTGCAGTTTTAACTGCAGGAATTTGAAGCATCCCAATTTATCTTCCAATGAAACAGCCTATTTAATTTCTAAATATAACATACAAGCAGATGTTACAGAGACAAAGGCTGACCTAAATCAACTACTACAAAGACCATCTGAATAATTAAGAATTATTGGGGCTGGGGAGATGGCTCAGTAGACTAAGCGCTTGCCTGGCAAGTGCAAAGACCTGCGTTCAATCCCCAGTTCCACCAAAAAAAAAAAAAAAAAAAAGCATCATTAATAGACTCAAGTCTTGGGCATACCAGAAGTAAGCAGTGCGCGTCTACACATTACGTATCATTCTTGTACAGGTGACATCTTGTTCCTTCTTTTCTTTTGAGACAGGGTCTCCCTATGCAGTTCAGGCTGGTCTTGAACACAGGCTGAGCTCATACTCACGGGGCTCCTCCTGCCTCAGCCTCCTGAGTGCTGGGATTATAGGTGGGCGCCACCAGGCCCAGCTCAGGTAACATCTTTTTTATGTAATGTCACTCTTTCAATATGTCTGATAACTTAAGTTAATGTTTTAACAAAGAACTCAACAGAAACAAACCTATTTATATGTCTTATGTTATATAATAAATAACGGTATGTATTTTAAAATACTACTTTTTAAGCTTTTATTTATTTATTTGGTACAGGGTCTTGCTAGACAGCAGCTCAGGCCTGTAGTGACCGCCACCTCAGCCTCTCCAGCGCTGGCACTACAGGCGTGTGCCATCACACTCGGTCTTAGCGGCCAGCACAGAGCGCCCAGCGTTCCAGGCTGCACAGTATGCCGCAGCAGGGAACAAATTCAGGTCCTTGAGCTTGCCAGGCAGGCACTTAGACTCCTGGCCTATCTCCCCAGCCCAAGGTTGTATGAATTTTTAAAATGCAAGCACAAAAGATTTAAAAGATACATTATTTCTATTTTTTTCTGGAAATAATCATCTAAAAGAAGAAATTAAATTCATGAGCTAGAGAATAAAATTTTCTTAGTGTAGCAATACTGATTTCTTTGCTATTCTGATTAGGACCATAACATTTCTGCCTTAAATGAACCCCCAAAATTAAGAAATTTAAATAGCTGTCCACTTAAATAACAATTCCTTCTACCCAGGGCTCCAACTCAGTTAAGAACTAATCCAATCTTGTTCTTAAACATTCTACCCTGCCATATTTTATCTTTTTCTTCTGAGTAATAAGGTAGAATGAGCTTTCATCTTCCTTTAAAGATCATTTGTTAAAATTCTTAATTCTTTTGTCTATTCACTAGTTAAGATAGAAAGTCTAATACACCTTTCTGAGCATGGTGCTTTTCTCTCAGAGCGATCTAGAACTCAGAGTCTGCAAAACGCCAAGTGTCAAAGCAGAGAGAAGAATCTGCCTTACGGAGGTCTTCAGATTCAAAGCTCACTCGCTAGCTTCCTACTGTTGATTACATTAGTGATCATGAAAGGCAAAATTCTGTCACCTGGATTTATAACTTAACCAAAGCTAAAGTGACAAAATGTTAGTGTTTGGTTTAATTTTAGTAAAGAGGATGGGATTTATGCTGCAGCTGGCCCATGTTCCATTAGACTAACAACTGACGCAAACAAAAATCTGCATCTATTCTAAGGTTAGAAGTAAAACTGGCCTGCTCCTTCCGGTAATCGCTAGGAAAACAGTTTGCTGGTTCATGTTCTTAAATTGCATTTTGGTATCACTTATTTTGAAATGTAACAACTATCACACAGTCTCTAAAACAATGCTGTCAAAATCATTTTGCTCTGTAACAATCTGCCACCTCTTAATTTTCACATTTTGCTATCCCTTTTTTTGTTTGTTTGTTTGTTTGTTTGTTTGGTTTTTTGGCAGAACTGGGGACTGAACACAGGCCCCTGAGCTTGTCAGGCAAGCGTTTATTCTACGGAGCTATCTTCCCGGCCTCTATCTCATGTTTTAATACTATTTCAGTGCACTGTACTTCTAGATATTTTGTACAACAAAAAAATTTCATAATCGACAACAGGCATCACACTGTGTATCTCACATTACAGAGACACTCGTAAGATACGCACAAAGGAGGGCTGGTGAGGTAGCTCAGTGGACTGAGCGCCTGCTTAGGCAAGCACAGGGACTGGGGTTTGATCCCAGGTACCACATGCCACGCCGGGCCCGCCCCTCGATGTGCTGAGCCAGCCACTGCGTCTGGGCACAGTGGTGCACACCTAAAATCCCAGCACTGGGGAGGCTGAAAACAGAAGGATCACTAGGAGTCCGAGCTGCACAGTGCGACCCTGTACCAAATACAATGAAAAAAAAAAACATACACAGTTGTTCAAGTTCCTTGTTCTCTCCTGATAAAAGTGTTAAGAAAGAACATTAATCTGAGATTCTCCTGACAGTTACTGTGACCCTTCTCCAAGGTGGCACACTAACTCTCCTCTGAAGGCCGGGTGGGACGCGAGCACACGTCCGCTCTGTGCAGTGGCCTCTCAAGAGAGCCACCCTGCTTGCAGAGTCTCTGCAGCCCTGCAGCCACCTCGTCATCAGGATTCTAACTTGTTCTCTTCAGATTGCAGAGACGCCTCCGTCTCCACGGGTGAAGAGCAAGTGACGACTGCACAAGGCCGTCCAGCCGGCTGCTGGCCCAGCAGCCGCGTCTCTTCATCTCTTGTCAGCTCACCTGCTGCTCCTTGCTCTCTCGGAGCAAAGCTTCCTGCTGCCGGGACAGGTGCAACACTGAATTCCTGTTTCCGATTTTACAAACTGGCCACCTCGGCTTCTCTGGGAAGTGAAGTAGGAGGAGCAGACACACACGGCTCAAGGCCCTTACCTGTTGCTTGTTGTTGGGTGTATACGGCAGCATGGTAGACACGTGGAACATAATCTCATAGTCCTTGTACGTCGTATACAGAGAATGGGTTCCAGTAGAGTCAGCTACAGATAGAAAAGATGCAATAACCAGGTGACTGCACGACTAGGAAAGCAAGTTCGTTTAAGAGAAATGGCTAAAAAAAGAAAACATGATTTTGAAACAAAGCACATCGGCGGCTCGGTGAGGCCGGTGGAGTGGGTCTCTCTGCAGAACACTCGTGAATGCGTGATTATATAGAATTTCAAAAAATATACTGAAAAATACAATAATCAAGTAATTTTTAAAATGCTACGTACAAGACTTACGAGATGCTGCAAATGATATCTTCTGTAATTCTGAAGCAATGGTGAATACAAGCAATATCTGAGATACCTTTAAAAATAATGTATGAAAATATCTTTTTCTGTTGGTAATACAGGCACAGATTATGCCACTGTGGTACGTCTACATTGGAAGGAACTTACAAACTCAGGATTAAAAAAAAAAAAAAAGTTTAGTGCCAGGGAGATGGCTCAGTGGAATAAGCGCTTCCCTGGCAAGCACAAGGGCCTGAGTTCAATCCCCAGTTCTGTCAAAAAAATAAAAAATAAAATAAACTCAGGATCAGTGAAAAGACACAGGCATTCTGAAGCCAGTTCGCTGCCTCATTCACTCTGTCTAGAGACACCAGGTTGTGTAAGAACCTCTCCACTAACACAGAGCCGCCCCGGCTCAGGAACTGCACTCCTGCCGCGGTTTGGCTGCAAGCCCCATCGCACCTCTCCACAAGGTCAGCGCGGATCCCACCCACTGAATTCGGCTTGCTCAGCTCATGACCACTTTGGTTGGTGCCCAGAATCCACCACTGCACTTCCAATGCAGACAAGAAGACTGCTCTCAAAACAGAGATGATAATTTAAAAAGGCTGCAACAATAAAGAGTAAAGCTTTTGTCCAATCGTTTTCTAAAGGTTTAAATGTGCATTGTGATCTTTCATCACCTACCTTAAGGAAAAAACCTTTACTACCTAATTATAAATCAATAGATTCTGAATCAATGTACCCACAAATACCTGCAAGCCAATGATACATTTTTACTTACTGAAAGGGAGTCTGAGTTTAAGCTGCAACAACCTGGACTTCACAAGTTATAAAAATGAACTGAGGGGACTTAACAAGCTATAAAAATGAACTGAAGTGCATTGATTTTGGGTAAACGTGAGCCGCCCTCAACTGCACGTTCAGAACCAGGACACTGTGCTGCACTTCAGGAACGATACTCCACAGCCCAGGCTCCAACACCTACCCAAACTGAGTGTGCGCCGTACAACCTGGGACTGGCTTAAAGGGCAGGCTTGCAGCCCATGCCAGAAAGTGCTCCGGGTGTGCGGGCCGCGAAAAAGCAGGCTATTGCTAGAGAACACTCCAGGTCTTGAATGCAGCTCCACTGCCCTCAGGTTCTGCTCCAAGCATAATCTGCGCCTGTGGCTTGCAGACAGCTTTAGAAAGACGTTCTAGAGCCCTGAGTTTCAAGCTTGAGCTTATTAGAGAAACTTAATTTTGAAGAAAAAAATACAAAGGCTTAAAAATAAACTAATTATTCAACAAAGACTACATTCAAAAATGGAAAAACTACATAGCAACATATTAATTGAAAAGAAATACCTTATAAACACTAATGACACACCCACACACCCACACACCCACACCCCCACACACCCCTGCCTACTAGCCATATAAAACAGTCAACTGCACTGGGTCTTGAGTATGAAGAACTCATCTGTGGCTCAGAGCCCCTGCCACAAATACCTTCACACCTGGCTGTGCTGCTTTGGGTTTCAGACCTTGACTGCTGAAATCTGCCAGGGCGTCTTGAATTCCTAACTCCTGGCATAAAATAACTATTTCTGCAGTACTGTTTGCATCAGAAATAATTGTTTCAAAAAATACACAAAAACAAAGGAAGAAGAATCACTGGACAGAGGTAATACTGTTCATGATATGGTATATGACCTTCTAGATTTTTATATGCATACCTGTACTTCTTAATTTAACTTTTATTTACTTTTTTGTGGCCAGCTCAGCTCCCTGGAGGCATGGTATGTAGTGCCAGGGATCGAACCACGTACCTGTGCGCTTGCCTAAGCAGGTGCTTTAGACCACTGAGCTCTCTCGCCGGCCCCATTTTTAATTTTTTAATCAAAAGTCATCTTCTGCCTACTAATTATAACCACTTTGTTTCACATTATTTCTGTGTCATTAAATGACTGACCTTATCATTTATTAAAAAAAAAACCCTACACACCTGGGAGACATTTTAAAAACTTCAGAGCATCAGGTGGGACACGTACTGACACACATTTCAAGTCAATTTTAAGCAACACTAAGAGCTAGAAAAAAGACTGTCACCAGCGTTCCCTGCACTTCGCTGTGCATGTCTGTCTGATTCTTTGCAGATCACCGCCAGGGGAAACACTGGCTCCAGACCAGCCAGGAGACACTTCCGCTCTCGCCCTGGCTCTCTGCAACTGTGTGCTTCAGTTCACAGAAGGAATGCTGCTCGCCTACCTTTTCTGGGGACTCAACATTCTGCTGCTCACTCAAAAAATAAGAGATGATTTCTACAGACTTAGACCTGAAATTAGAGCCAAAACAACAAAGATTTCCTTTCTGAGAAGCTAGTAATTCTAAAACTCTGAAATTACTTTACAGAAAATGCAGTTGCTAAACTTTACCAGAAAGAATGGGAAAAGTATGCTTGCTGTATTTTTTAAAAATAAAGCATTCAATGTTTTTATTTCTATAATTTTAATGCTATGAAAGTTTTAATGGAGTAACATGAAAAAGTTTTTATTTTGTTGAAGAGAATATACAATGAGCAGTCTCGGAATAAAAGTGCGTTTGCAGGGGAGGAACAGAAAGGTGCTGCCCCTTCAAACCTGCGCGGCTCTTTTAATACTTGAGCAGTGAATTCAGCCACATGGCACCCTGCCGGCCACGTGGTCCTCGCTCACCCCACACCACCCATGAAGGCCTGCACCCCAACACAGTACGCGGGGTGGGGCCACAGAAAGGACCGCTTCCCACACCCAAGCCGGCAGATGGTGCCAAGACACTGAAGAATTACGACAACGAGAATAGGCTCAGCTGCTTTGCGGCGACACTTGCGGTACTAGTCTTCACTAGCCATTCCTATTGGAAGGTGGCTATGACCAAGTTAGTGAATTTGTAAAAAATGTTTCAAGTACAGTGAACGTCACTGTTATTGTTAACCCCCTTCTGAGTCAACTCTTTCACTTTCAGGTAGTTGAAAAGTTGAATGATTACGGTGTATTAGTCTCAATCAGGAAAAAGTAATTAGATTTTCATATGACTATTTCTTGATTACAAAGTATATGCTTAAGAAAAACTAAAGGAAAAGTCTTTGCAGTTTGATTTTGGCACCTATAAACACAAGCAGAAATCACACTTAGTAAATATATACAAACCAAGAAAGGCAACAGAACAAAGAACGCTTTCACTTGGTCTTCTGACGCTTACACTGGTACGGCACATGTCAGGCCCAAGGTCACTATGTCATTTGCCCACTAATAAAGTCCCGGGGCAGTTAGGAATTCCCCCTGTTCTGACACCTTCCACATTTATTAAGTTTTAGAACTGCTCACAAGCCATGATCAAGAGAAATTACTTCAGCAAGGATGGGATCCAGAGCATTTGTAGTACTCTTTGCTATGACAAGCAAATCCACTCTGTATTAGTTCCAGAACACACCTGGGCCTCAAGGCTTCCCACAGCCTCGAACATAATGAGAGGAGCTCTGAGGTGGGGCAGAGCAGTACTTCAGAGACAGCCCTCACCGCTTTCTGCTAACTGCTCACATTGCGACATACCTGGAATTACTTGGCAATCTTGCATGGCAAGAGGATTTATTCAGAATGCAACAAATGCCATTTGTTCAGTGACCATAAGAAAGTCACTTATGGGTCTTAAGATATGTCAGTGCACATTTACTCATCAATATCCTCAGTACCATAAAGATTAAGAGAACTGGAAGCAACAGCTCATAAAAGATGCTGAGGAAAATGTGTTCACTAGAATTTAAAATTCTGAGGGCTGGCAAGATAGCTCAGCAGGCTAAGCGCCTGCTCAGGCAAGCACTGGGACCAGGGTTTGATCCCTGGCACCACAGGCTGCGGTGCCCACGCCCCCAGAAGAGCTGTGCTGGCCCCCAAGATCAGGCATGGTGGTGCATGCTTGCAATCCCAGAGCTGGGGAAGCTGAGAGCAGGAGGATCACTAAGAGTCTGAGCTGCATGGTGAGACCCTACACCAAATACATAAATTTAAAAAAAAAAGAATTTAAAATTTTGTTCTGCTAAGGTAAAAAAAAAAAGTAGTTTTCGTAAAAAGAATTCCTTTGTTCATTTTTAATTTCTAGAATTTTAAATAACTCCTTACATGTGCAAAGCATGTAAACGACACTTAGCTTTGTCCCTTTGCCTGTCAGAGTTTACATACTTCCAATAAAGGATTTATTTTACGAAAAGTCTCCATCTCTTTAAGACCCTGAATCTCAGCTACCTTTAAAACGTCGCTGATATGCTGACAGATGGAAGATGCAACACACACTCATTCACAGTGCAGGAACTTACAAGGGCTGAGACTGAAAGAACGCTTTGCAAAGAGCTTCTACGTCTCCTGCATGCTGACCTGACAAACAAGATTCAGGAAGGGAATTAATTTCCCAAATAAGATTCCAAGTGCACAGTTTTAAATGAGGGTGGTCTCCAGATTTCAAATGAACTGTGTAGTGGGAACCTCATTTTTGTATTTATTCTACTAAGTGGGGATGGTAATCTTCTAGAGGTTGTCATTCAAGTAAGAAAAGAAATGGAAGCAAAAGATTCACTACTGAATTTCTTCAGCTGTAGCAGAGTTCCAGGCTATCATGTATTTATTTGTACTTTATTTGCTGCCAGTCTTTATTTTTAAGATGAAAATTTGGACTTCATTCAGATAATTATGCAAAGAAAAGGAGTTCAACAGTCCCATTAACCCTTCGGGTCCTGAGCCTCTCTCTCCCTT